TGTCTGAAAAATCGAGCTGAAATATTATTAAATATTCTGGAGGATTTACCTAGATAAATTGAATCTATTTCTGATGCTGTTTCTGCTCTGAGCAGGGGATAGGACCAAATGACCTTGCAATGTCCCTTCCAAGCTAATTTTTTCTGTGGTTATAATAAGATCTATAAGAACCAAGAAATTCAAAATGAAGTTTAAAAATGCAGTTTGAGCTGTTCCTCTCAGCTGATGTCTTTACAATGTCGTGTCTTAAACTAAAGCATTTTAAAATTTGTAAGCTAAGAAGAAGCTATGAGCAGCTGGTAGGCTTGACAGACCAGGTTTGTTCTGTAAAGTATTTCCCTGGTTGGGGATGGTGAATAGCATTACAAGGAAAATCCTATTGACACCATGTTATTCAAGTTCTGTATTCATGGCAATTATAATGGACCTGAGCCTGAACTTCTCCCTGGGGCAAAATTCCTCTTGAAAGAAGCATGTGCTGCTGACCTTTATCCTTTAGGAGATTATATTGTCAAAATAATCTCATGCTCCTGGACACAGCCTGAACTGAGTCTGTGAAGGGTTTCAAAATATATGATTAATTCAACCTTGGAGGTTTTTGCTGCTTGCTTACTCATACTGGAGTGGCACAGAAGCTAGGAGATTAAAAGCTGTGCTCTTCACTTCTATTAAAGTGGGTAGGGTGGAGGATCTGGAAACATAAATAAAAGGATTACTGCTAGGAGAGAGTGCAGTTTATGGCAGTCCTGCTGGTGTGCATCCGCCTGGGTTCCCAAAATGTACCGGCGGAAGATTAAGCGGATATTACTTGTGACTTGGTCACCCTTCAGGTCTTCTGGAGGCTAAACTGAAGGTAGTGCAACTCTAATCTACCTTCTCACCCTTTCAGAATTCTCGGTCATAAGGCAACAGTTGAAATCAGATAATAAAAGCAACAGGACACCGCTTCTGCTCGAGTTTATGATTGGAAGCTGTTTCTAAGACATGGCTGCTGGATTTGAGAGTCTGTATTAAAATGTGCCTCCCCAAACAAAAACAAACCCAGTCCCTGAATATTAACCAATAAACAAATTTCAATGTCTGCAAATCCTCCCTTAGTGCCTTCATTAACATAATTAATATTTGCCTCTTGAGATGTGGGGAAAAACCCCCTAAACAGCATCTTGGATCACCAGATTCAGAGCTGTAAATCCTCTTGGTGGTGTTTTACATCATGTCCCATAGATGATATGGGAAGTTTCCTGAGTAACTTCTGTAAATTCTTTTATCCAAGTACCACAAAAACTTCAGTACTGCTAAAACAGCTTTAGATGGAGAATTTGGCCAGTAGGAAAAACGAATTGCTTATTCTAGGTACAAAAGATTTGGACGGTAGAGTCTGAGTTACTCACTGTGAGCTCCTTTTGTTAGATTTATTTGAGATTCAATTTCAGGATGGCATGAGCAGCTTGAATCAGGGGCCAGCATAGGAACATTTAGTGCCCCTTGAGAAGCGCAAGGGTCTCCTGCCAGGGCACAGATCTGGCAGTCATTTGGGAGATTCCCGTCACTTTGCATGTGTTCCAGGTATTTTTTGAGATCTCAGGTGGCACTGGCATCTTATTTGTGGACAGTGAAAACAAATGCTGTACCTCACATCTATCATAAAAAGAGCAAGGAATTAATACGTCAAGTATTCACATCCATCAATCAGCTGTCAAAGCTGGAGATAAAAATACCCCACACCATCTTCTAGGAGACTGGCTAAAGTAAGAACCTGATGTGAAAACTAAGCCTACCGAGTCAGGATTTGCTCTAATTGATAGTGTCTTGGCTATATCCTTTTAAAAATCTAAATGCTATTGATTCAAGTGGATTTAATTTATCACTGGTGCAACATAATTATTTACAAATGATCCCCTGCTGCTCTCTCAGGAGCCTGACAAACCAGCTGACAGAAAATCATTTAGCTGAGAAGGAGAGTGTTTAGTATTGCCTAATGACTCAGCTCAGATATGTATTTTAATACATGTTTTTAATGGCAATAGTGGCAGATAAAGGGGGCTGGAAGCATGTTAAAGCTGCGGCATCTGGGGTGAATATAAGAGAAAGTATTTGCTTGGTGACTTATCTCTGAAGGTCTTGTGTGCTGAGGGGAGAAGATAGGAAAGTTGAATTGTTGGTAATCTAACTTAGATTTTTTTTTTTTTTCCAGTTCTTTAATGCAATGGCATTTGATTCCCCCTCTTCCCCTATTTGCTGGAACTATTGTAGCTCAGCCAGTATCAAAGAGCTGAAAAATCAATGCAAGGCGCAATGTCTGTGAAAGGTCAGAAGTGAAAGAGAGTTCAGCCTAATAACATTTTAAAGTCCTATGGAAAGGATATTTCATAAAATATTAAAAAATCAATTTAACTTCCATAAAACATTAGTTTAGTATCAGTACTAAACAGAAGATAACTTAGCAAGGGAGGAGATGGGAGTCAGGCATTCAGACTTTTATTGCAGTTTCCCTCATCTTGAACTATTTTTTTTTTGCCCTGAATTGACTGGGAAAGAACAATATCTTGAAAAGAATGGAGATCCCAACTCCCCTTCTTATAGAAATGTTTCTAATTTACTAGTTGTAACCATGATGCAGTCATTTAAATTTCTGCATGCTGCATGAGAAGTCTTCCTGTTGCCTCAACTTTTTTTAGTTCTGAAGTACCTCAGCTCATGAATGGAAAATTTCATGCTTCTTAGTCCATTGCTAACATTTGGCTTCATAAAATCATCTCCTTTTGCTCAAAAATAATACATTTGGTTACTTCTTGAATGCAGTTCAGACTGTTAAAAAAATGAATGTCTAGGAGATCAGAAAACTGCTTAATTTCCAAATCCAAAACCTTGACAGCCATTGTCCATGTAGTTTATAGGTCTTTTATTATAGCAGAAATTTTCACAAACCGCTCATATCTCTCCATTTTGGAGTTTATTACTTTAGCTATTTGTCTGGTAGTAGAAGATTCAAAGTAGTTGATGTTTGGTTTCAATTTTTAGAGCTTCATTCATGTCTTCTTAGGCTTTGGAAAAATAAATATTTTTCCAGTGCCAAGCAGTGTCAGATTCATTTTCTAAGGGGTCCTTCTGTGACTTCTTTGTCCTTTGGAAGTGGATTATTTTTAGAAAATTCTTGATTTCACCAGGACTTTCACATATAGAGTCTTACAGAAATAATACTTTATAATGTTTGTTATTGGTAATGCAAATGGTCACAAAAGTTCTTTAACTGAGTATTTGTTATAATGGATGCTCAGTCATAATGGGATTGCAGCAGATGACCCCAAATCTTTCACTAAAAAACACCTGCCAGGGTTTTATCCAGGCTTTAATTTTCTTGCAGCTTTCTTGGCGTGCGTTAAGGCAGACAGAAGTCACGGCTTTGGTATGAAAAATAGTCTGCAAAACTCTGATTTAACTCTCCAGATAGATATGTGGAAAATTGTAAATGTTCATTTTTTATGAGTTAAACTCACCAAACAGAACAGAATCCCCACTGTCAATGCCTGTCTTTCATCTTAGCTCATTCAAGAGCCACAAAGTACTCATAATTTTGGCAAAATAGTCTAAAATCTAATAGTAAATTCTAAGAGTGAAACTCTGAGCATATCAAACAGAATACCAAAAACTCAGTAATGTTGGCTGTTATCCCTGGAAAATGAAAATGAAATGAAATTTCATCAGGTGGGCTGATGCTGGAAATCATTTGGAGTACTCCAGCTGAATTTGGTTTTGTGGGTTCAAACCCACAGCACCTTGCCAAGCTGCGTGGGGAGCAGCCAGAAGTGCACCAAGTACATCTTCAAAAGAGTAAAACAACTTCTTCTGACCAGTGCCAGTTCTGTAATTTTTCTGAATTGTACCTGAGCCATCATTCTGTGTGAAATGTAGGAGGGTGTGAGTCCAAGCCCAGCCTGTGTGAGGGGCCCAACTCAAACAGCCTCACTGGTCTGGAGGGTTCAGATTTTCTCAGGAAGAAAATCTGTGAGAAATCAAGGCATGACATCGACTCCATCCCGCTCAGCATCGCTGTTGCAGCCTGGTACACACACAGCACATGATGCTGGGTGGTTGTTCCCAGAATCTGTCCTTCAGGGTGAGCCAGGAGGCCAGAGTCCAAACCTCACTTAAGACCAGCCCTCACCTTATTATTGCTACAAGCAATTGTTGCCATGTTTGCAATTTCTTGTTGCATTGATTAACAATTACAGTCGCTTCCTTATGACTATTTCCTAAAATTCAGGGACTTACTGATAATATATTTAAAATTTGTTTTCCCTTAAATACTCAAAGGAGATGAAGGACCATTGGGAAATCCTAATAGTCTAATTATTCCTTTGTGGTTTCATTTAGCTAGATTTTTAGTGTGCTCTTCATCTTATGTTAAAGTCCACAAATCAATATGTATATAGTATTTCAGATAACATAGAGTAGGCAATCAAATAGTAGTAAATGTGATGGAAATAGGATATAAAATGGGGAATTAGCTAATGGTTTAATTTAATTTATACTCAGGAGTTGTCATTAAAGGAAAGAACATTTCAACCATTAGCGAATGAGCAAATATTTACTCTATTTTAATGGGGAAAAGGATGGTGGCTTACTCATTGATGCTTTGCTTCCTGAATGATCCTGTTATTTCTTTATCTTTTTCAAGTTTTCCAAGTCCTGGAACCTAGATGGTAGAATTAGATGATTCCATTGGAGAGATTTAAATCCCTCCCAAAACAGGCCTAAATTCAGATTACAGTGCCTTTTTGGGTTATTTTCCTGGAGGTGTTTGGAAGAGCATCACTGAAATGAAGGGATACTGTAACCAAAATCAGCAATCATGGAACTACTAGCAAATTTTCCTTGGGAGGGATGATTTCTGCGTCCAGTCTGTGGGTAGAGGAAACACACAGCTGCTTTCAATAAGTCAAGTCATTGAGGAGGCAGATACATCCTGCCTCCACAGCAATGAGCCATGTAGGAGCAGCCTGCAATGTTCTGCCATGCTGGGAGAAAGAATTTTACATGTATACTGATCTCCAGTTATCAACCACTTCAAACTATGGAGAAGAAATGATGAGAGGTATGCCATTGTCAGCAGGCAACAATTCTGTTTCAAATAGCTCCACTTTTTAAAACAATACCTGAAATCTGTCAGCTCTTAGGGGGACTTGTGTAACTGGAATACTTGCTAATGTTTATGGTCATTACCCTGGAGCAGAAAGCAAATGGAAGTCCTCTTGCAAGCATCTACTGTAAACAAGGAGAACACAAAAACCCTTCTCACAGCTGATCATACTTGCCTTGTACTCATTTGCATAATCAGATGAGATATTAACTTAGATAATAGCACCATCTATTGAGGATTAACAATGATATTTAAACTTTAAAATGCTATTTGCTGCTTCACTTTTGTAGGCATTACAAATCTGGATTTATTTTAAGATCATAATTTTATCATTGTATCTGATACCTACTGGTAATTTATTAGCTATGATTAAATAAGCTTATCTGCCTGCTAATAAGGTTCCCATACTGTCCAACAAAACCTCTTGTTTGAAGATATCTCTCTTTATTTTTCCTTGTTGAGAAAGTAATTTTCCACTTTCCATACTTTGGTTGGACAAATACATCAGTCTATGAAGTTCTTCTGCTCTCCTTTTATAATACATCATTATTCCAGCAGCAGTCTGCTTTTGAAAAGACATAATCTTTAGTTGCAGCAGTCTTCTTGTAGCCATAGTCAACAATACGTTCTCTTTGTTTTTGAACGGTTCATAGTGTTTGTGTTAAAATTTTCCCAGATTTATGGTCAGGAGTTTCAAAAACATGGAGCACCATTCGTGATGCTGGCATTAAATTAACTGGCCAGACTCTTTTTGGTGGTATCCAGCCACAGAACAAGGGGCCATGTGTAGAAACTGAAACACATGAAGTTTTATCTGGATATGAGGAAAAAACATCTTTACTGTGATGGTGACAGAGCACTGGAACAGGCTGTCCAGAGATGTTGCAGAGTCTCTTTCTCTGGAGATGTTCAAAACCCACCTGACCTGTGTCCTGTGCAGCCTGCTGTAGGTGAACCTGCTTTAACAGGGAGCTGGACCAGATGAGCTCCAGAGGTCACTGCCAACCCCAGCCATTCTGTGATTAAATGTTCATATTTAAAAATATGTTATAAGAAAACAGCAGAAAATCCTGTGAGAAAGATTGGTATTGTTGAGGTAAGATGTTTGGTTAAGAAAATGTGGGTAAAATCTTGTCTCTTGGGCTTTTTTGGGTGATTTCTGAGAAGTTACTTTAGCTTCTTATCTATAAAATGGAGCAAGGAAGCTGGAGAGGTTTCTCATAATGCTTGTGTTTCTATACTGCCCACACTGTTCAGGGCAGAGCTACAGTATTCCACTAGCCTTCAAAATTACCTGCTCCTGAATATGTTGGATCTCTTAGCACAAAATTAACAGATGTGGCAAGGTCTTTATGTGAATTTCCTCCTACTAAATAAGATATTTTTTTAAAATTTCTGTGGGTTTGCTTTTATAAAGCAAATTTGCTTGTGCTGTCTTTATTGAACAGCATAGCAAGTCTAAAATACAATTTTATTTTCAGCATTAATTTTTAAGAAACTCCAGTCTTCTCTGCTACACACAGTGTCCTTCCCTACAAGCTCCCATTTATCTCATGGGCCAGCTCAGTTTTGGGATGGTAACAGGAGCAAGGGAGCATCCTAGGAGCTGCTTTTTAAGCAGCCCATTAAACTGGATGGAGGCTTGAACCCATTTCTCTGCTGAGCATGGAATTTGCGCTTTCTGGATAATACTAATCTCACAGGGCAAGAGGACTATCCTGAGACTCATTAAGATATTTATGAGGAGCAGCACTGTTAAACTGAATGTGACTGCAATCAGCAGCAACTTCTAAAATTTTATCCCACCCATAACAGGGTCTCCTGACCTTGTCTTAATACATGTGTGAAATCACTGCGATGTGCTAATCAGTGTTGGGGTTTTATTTTCATAGAAGGACATTAATCAACATTTGCAGACAGCCTGATTTGTATAAGTCTTCCAAATGCTGCTTCTACATTATTGTGTTTGTTAAAGCAATAAAAGCAGGGAGAACAATTTCTGCATGATTGTCCCCTTGTTTCTGCAAGTCAGGCACATCTGAAATTTATTCAGGCTAGGAGAAACCTGTTGTCAGATATTCCTGTAAAATATTTGCAGTGTACCATGGCTATTTTGTCTATCTGTCTGGACACCAAAGTTCAGCAAGTGTAAAAAGGGAAACCACACTGCAAGAAAAAATAGCTACTGTTTTGATCAGGTGTAGCAAACCAAATCTAAAACTGCTGAAAAAATGCTTACTGGGAAGCTGTTAGTAGAAAATGTGGCTTTTCAGTGTTTTGTGCTGCTTCTTGGCCATTTCCCATTTCTTTTGCCCAGTTTTTCCTCTCTCCTTGTGAACCATCTCATCATTATAATGAACTTGAGAGAGTGGAATCTACTCCCCATTACACAAGAGTACAACTGTCAGGCAGTGAGAGACATTTTTTAGTTATCCTGGAGACGTAATGTGCAGTGTATGTGAGCCCAGGTATGTGTGTGCATCTGGGTGTGAAAGGCTGACAGTGACACCCTTTGTTGTAGAGCAAACAAAGCTGAAATTCCCAGCTGCAGTCCAAAGGAAACAATTGATTTGACAGTGCAGCTGTACTTATTTGAGACCCTTTGTAGACATTCATGAAGCTTTATTTCCTTTTAGAATTCCACTACCCAGCAACACAGGAAGGTAGTTCCATGTATCTATATCAGTACTAAATTTTCACTAGGTTTGGTATTCCTACATGGCAAAAATCTTAAAATACAAATCTGTTTGGTAAGCCTGGGGACAAAAACCTCAGCTTTTGCTCCCTTCCAAGACGTGCTGCTTTTGGCTTTGATTTCAATATTGGTCCCTGCTCAACACAAGCACATTAAGGATATTCTTGCAGCTTCATATGCATTTAAATGAGGGTGGCAGCAGAATGAACTGGCAGGTGTAATTCAGAGAGGGGTTGAACCCAGGTTCTCCCCACCTCAGACCATGAATTTCATGCATAGCTTTTGTGCTGTTGTAAGTAACTTAAAGGATATTACTTGGATTTTTAGCTGGACTGATATTTCTAAAAAGGAACATTATTAAATACTTGATCTAACAGAACTATGAGATTGCCCATTTCAGGTTGTCAATTAACAGTATCCTTGAGGAAGTGTGATTGGCTCTGGACAATATCTCTGGCCATCTGGATATAATGTGTGGAAGGAGACTTTAATGGCACTGAGGTTTTTCTTTGGGAGCCCAACATATCTGTGTCCTGTCCTTCACTTTGCTGAAGACTTTCTCAGTGACATTGGGCAAATTGCCTCCCTTCACCTCAATTTATATGTAAAGCCTCAGGCTTAAGAAGATGGTGAAGATGCAATGGCCCTTGAGGGTTTATTGTAATATGAAAATCACAGATTCAAATAAAAGGCAGGAAACTTGAAAATAAGGGAAAAAACCCCATTTAGTTAAGCTATAGAAACAATAGCCACAAAATACTACGAAGGCCAAACCTCACATGAGTTCCAGAAGCAACTGGACAAATTTACGGTTCAATAAAGTCCATTAGGCTCAGATTTACTAGTTGTTTTAAGACTTAATATATTCTCTCACTACAGATTAGCAGAACCTGGGAAACAAGAGCAGGAAGCAACTCATGTTTCTTTCCTCCATAATTTCTTTTGTTTTTTCTGACTGCTGTCAAATTCACTCTGGTCTGTTTTACTGTGCCTGTCCTTGTGTCTCTATATTATATTTTAGGAATAAAATTTCAGAGACAGGAATCCTGAAAGAGTTTTCTTCCTCCCAGTTTTTTCCATCCTTTCTGACTGCTAGAACTTAGACCTCACCTGACTTGGCATAATGAGAGCAACACTATTAAATTAATGTGCTCCTTGCTGGGGGTGGGTATCACACACACATGCCATGGTCAGACTGAGAAACTAGCTGGGAAGTAAGGCTGCAGTTCTTAAAAAAAAAACAAACCCTGACAAACCCAGACTGTCTTCTGCTATTTTTATTCTCTCAGTCTCTGAGAATAGTGGAGCCTTGATTTTGGCTGGAATGTCTTGAAGATACTTTGGTATCAATAATTAATGTTAATGATAACCAATGGTAATGGAATAATTAACTCTGTTAGAGAAAATGTACTGTCACTGGATAATAGCACAATTTTATCTTTCAGTTCTTAAAAGAAAGCTTGAACTCTGTGTTAGTTTTTTTGATCCTTATTTCTTAAGGAAAGATTTATTCTCTTTCACTACAAAAGTGGACTACATCAGAGCACAGAATGGAAAGGGACTGGCTAGGCACAGTCCCCTGCTATTTAAAATAAACATTTTATCAGTCTTTTGTAAACTGGTTGAGGTAGGTTGTTTCCACTCACTATTCTTCCTTGAGGGATATTATAGAATCTCTTTTCTTTTCCTGGTTTGAGTCTTTCAGAGACCTTTAGTACCTTTTTTAGATTTTGAGCCTTCACTTAAATAGACCTTTTCTAGTATTTATGTCCCTGATATATTTATGAAGAGTTCTCATTTTCTTGGTCAGGCCTTGTCCCAAAAGCCTAAACACATCAAGCATGTCAAATATTCACTAAAGAGATGATCTCTCTGCACACTGCTAAGTCCCATCTTAGCCTGGCCCTAGTTGAATTTGTCTTTATTGAAAATTTTGCATACTCTTCTAGATGAAACTTCCCCATTAACTGATCACTAACCTACCCCTGGGGATATATCACTGCTATGGTGAGAAAAATATATCCTTACAATACTCTTAGAAGCCTCACAAGAGACTGCTGCCTGTTAGAGATACTTTACCTGACTTACTCAGCTAGCACATTTGTATTTTCCAGGATCACCACATCCTTTGTATGTGGACATCTTGTGATGAACAGACATACTAAAGTCTTGCTCTGCCATTTACAGCTGATGAGAACTCATTATAAAGCTAAAGTTCAAGATAATAGTCCATAAGGGAATGACCTTGCTATTGGTCTTA